TATGGTGACGCTAAATTTATATATGCTGTGCACCACTCGACCGGTATGCAAACTTCAGCAGGTGCTGACTGATAAATACAATATGCAAATGAACCCTTATTTTCTCCCCAGTGAATAACTGAAATAAGTGAGGATGCCAGAATGCTGCACGAGTTTTTAGTCAGCTGGCAAACGAACATACTAAGACACGGTTATAAATATCTCTTTATTTGAACGAGTTAGGTTTGAGAGAAGCAATGTAAGGAATATAAAATGATGCAGCAAAGAGAAAATAGCCAAGTCTCTATGTGGTTAACTTGTAAATCCGAACACGTATCTGTCAGTTCTAACATTAAATTGTACTCCACATCAGTAGCCACAAATCAGGATTTAACTGTTTTGTCTAATTAGATCTTTATCGAAGATCAAGCGAACTCGGCACACAGTGGATAATTAACGAACATATAATTTTCGCCTGAGGTTTTTCTTTTTTAAAGCTTTTCTCCTGCCCCGATAGTGCCGTCAAATAGCAAAGATTGGAAAAAAACTTGTAATGTAAAAGAATTTAAAAGAACTAATCTTCTAAACATAGGATAGTTGATTAATAACCATTGCTAAAACTTGAAATCTTGAACATTTCAGAGAGTTTATTCTAAAAATGCGTTTGCAATCTCCCATTGCCAATCTAAAATTGATTAATTTTGACTTAACAATCTCAACGGCAGTCACAGAAAAAACTTCCAATTATTTTTTGGTAATGTTTTAGTGCATTAAAATGCCAAAAAAAATCTATGTTCCCTTAGTTCACACTTTATAGCACTGGAGATGTTTATCACAGCCGGAATAAAAATTACCCATCATATCCGAAGTTCAACCGATTAGGACCGACAGACTCATCGCATTCACGAGCCAATTATACGAGTTCGTAAGATATCCCCAACCGTGAAGGACAGCTTCTCCCTTGACTTGTGTTTATATTACCAAAAACAGTGTAATACTCGCTCTAACAAGTGTAAATTAAAACTAACGCTACTTAAAGAATTTGTACAGTTTCTAAGGAATTGCTCTTTTAAGAACTGAATAATTTTTGGTAACTTGGTTTAACTTAGACAAAATTTGGAGCTTAATTTTTAGATCAGTTTCAACTGAATTAGTAGATATTGTAGGGTGTTTTTAAGAATTCAAAGATTACACAGTAACAAGCTTTCTAAACACAAAATTATCAAGATGGCATGTCGATTAAAGATAAACAACTCTATCTGCCCCGCTTGCACTTTTAAAGGGTAATACGAGTCGTAGAAAAACAGTTTTCTTTTGCTAGAATTAAGGATCGGATTTTAGCTAATGGTCAACGAACCCTTGATTAGAGAAAACTCAAACCTGTCATGCGTAAATCACATGATCGGTAAAACATTTTTTCCTCTTTATAACACTCGTCAAACTTACCGCCGTAACTTCTCGTATTCTCTCAGATCTCTGTGATTCGGCCCAAAAGCGTACAAGCTACAAGAGAAGAAATGGTGTCTTCATCAAATCAAAGGTTTACAATTATTGATTATGGATTGAATGTGGCTTAGAAGCGAACACTAAAAACTAAAGAAAAAAGAACCCACCCAAGTGCTGTCCACATGTTGTACCTCAGATGAAGTGTTTTGGAATATTCGATCTGTCACAAGTCTATATTTTCGATTTCATTGGGCGATTTAAGTTGGAAATAGGAAATTGAGAGCGAAGTTTCACGAGTACGTGGCGTTGATCTACCAAGGAGGTCAAAATAAAAGAAACAAAGCCGGGAGGACAGGTCTTAACGGGTAGCAAAAAACAAAACCACCAGTCCAATACATTTGACAATCGTGCAATGTTCATTTATTTTTTGAGAAAAACCACTAAAATCAACAAAAACGCTCCATCCGTTCAAAACTTTATTCCAGAAGAGAGCGAAACGAACTTTTCACGCTCGATAACTCAAGTTTACTCGCAAATGATTCACTTTTATAAATAAAACATAACTACTGTAGGTTTTAATATTTTACAATAAGCAGCGACGAGGGGAGAAATAACAAAAAATCAAAAAAGATTAACTTGAGCTGTATTCTTAACGCTCTCGTTTTCCTTCTTGTTTTGGATTCAGGGTGTTCAGTAGATGCAGTCCAACTTTATGTTCCTCCGTGTAGTTGAGTGTTACTCCTTCTCCTACAGTCGATGTAAAAAGTCAGTTTGTGATGGTGTCGACCGATTAAGCTGTCTTGTGCAATATATGCAAATGATGTAACCGCGTTATAATTTTCCTTTCCAAAGCGAGGCTGAAGATAAGTATCCCCGTCATTCCGAGGGAAGGAGAAAAGCACGCTGGGACTACTTGAGAGAAAGGACACTGGGAACGAAGTTGGGATTATCTCGACCTGGGTTACCTCCTTTTGTCACTGCGCATGAGTGCTGAGCATATGAACCCGTGACGTTTGGCTTAGCAAATCNCTTGAGAGAAAGGACACTGGGAACGAAGTTGGGATTATCTCGACCTGGGTTACCTCCTTTTGTCACTGCGCATGAGTGCTGAGCATATGAACCCGTGACGTTTGGCTTAGCAAATCGATTTGGCGGATTTACCTGCTTAAAATCGTGTTATCATTTCAATAGTAAAAGATCATAAAATCACAGAGGCGCACTTGAAGTCATTGTTAAGATAATTCCTGTTAAAAAACTACCAAGCGTAAAGTCAAAATAACTTGATCAGCTATCAGTGAACGGCCAAGATTGTGTTTTTTGCGTGTTTATGAACCGAGAAGCAGTACACGTCCATAAATACGCTTTTCTTGAAAATCCAGCCTAAGTTACCCAATCATTTTTAAACGTTTTGACAGTACATGTATACAGTAGTTCTAAAATTAAATTAAATTAAATTTAGTTGTTACCTCTATTCTAAATGGTCACTTCTGAAGATGTATGTCGAAACGTATGAAACGTCAAGTTAAATAAATTTTGTTTTCCAACATTCGTTTAATTGCCATGTTTATCACCGCAGTTTGTGTGCTATTTCTTATCAAGCTACGATAGTTTTGTCCGCAGCTTGATTAGTTTTATAGTTTTCCTTCAATTACTGTAAATGTCTATGTATCAATTATTAACATTTTAACCAATTATAGCTTCTTGAAGCATTTTTCTAAGTTCACATTCAGTTGCGTTTCTTTCGAATTTTCTATTTCAGTGTCGAGCATTTCTTCCCAGTTTACTTTTACGTCCCTTCGACCACCTTTATTAAATAAGGAGATCATCAGAAGTCACAATATCCTAGAAAATATCTATACTAAATATGACTCATAAACTTGTAACGTTGTTTTACTTTGAGTAATTCTTTGTAAGAGGGTAGTAAAGGGTATTTTCGTGACTCGTGATCGGCCTTTTTTTCCCCGTGAAATGTGAAATGGCTAATTTTTTCCTCGTGAATCGTGATTTCTATAGTCGCCGTGAACCGTGATTTTCCAAAACGTTCTCTTTTATTTTCCGTGAAGCGTGAAATGTTAATGTTTTATTTTTCGTGAATTGTGAAAGGGCTGCTTTANTGGCGGATTTACCTGCTTAAAATCGTGTTATCATTTCAATAGTAAAAGATCATAAAATCACAGAGGCGCACTTGAAGTCATTGTTAAGATAATTCCTGTTAAAAAACTACCAAGCGTAAATTCAAAATAACTTGATCAGCTATCAGTGAATAGCCAAGATTGTGTTTTTTGCGTATTTATGAACCGAGAAGCAGCACACGTCCACAAACACGCTTTTCTTGAAAATCCAGCCTAAGTTACCCAGTCATTTGTAAACATTTTGACAGTACATGTATACAGTAGTTCTAAAATTAAATTAAATCAAATTTAGTTGTTACCTCTATTCTAAATGGTCACTTCTGAAGATGTATGTCTAAAAATATGAAACGTCAAGTTAAATAGATTTTGTTTTCCAACATTCGTTTAATTGCCATGTTTATCACCGCAGTTTGTATGTTATTTCTTATTAAGCTACGATGGCCAAAGAAAAAGAGTATTTACGATACAGTAGTTCTGTTCGTAGCTTGATTAGTTTTTATAGTTTTCCTTCAATTACTGTAAATGTCTAGGTATCAATTATTAACATTTTAACCAATTATAGCTTCTTGAAGCATTTTTCTAAATTCACATTCAGTTAGGTTTCTTTCGAATTTTCTATTTCAGTGTCGAGCATTTCTTCCCGGTTTACTTTTACGTCCCTTCGACCACCTATATTAAATAAGGACATCATCAGAAGTCACAATATCCTAGAAAATATCTATACTAAATATGACTCATAAACTTGTAACATCGTTTTACTTTAAGTAATTCTATGTAAGACTCTGGCCGTGCCTTTCCAAATATTGGAACTGATAACAATCAGTCCTGGGGTTTTCTCTGAAGTTCGCGGGAAAAATGAAACGGAGTCTGGACACTACTCACTCTCGCTATCTCCCGGATGGAGGAATTTTTAAAGCAGTAATGGCGGAAAGTGTACTTAGTAACTATGGAGCCTGAATAGCAAATTTTAGCTGATATTTTCACCTTTTTGAGTGATTCCCTCTATAGTTATTAAAGAACGCCAGAGATGATCAAAGAATGCCATCTGGGAAGGTAAAGTTTTCTGAGCTGTCCTTGTAGCTTCATGTGTTTTCGTTGCTACGGTTTTATGTAGAGTCAAATATTTTATGATAAGCTCAAGGATTTTGGAGCAAGTATACGGTTTAGTCTTCCCCGTCCCTTTATTTTATGGAATTAAATTAATTCGTGAGATGAAACGCAAGTTTTCTTGCAGTCTCCATGCGTAGACAATTGTAAGCATACAGTGATTTCTAGTTTGATGATTCGTGATCATGAAATAAGCTTAGTTTTTTTCATCTTAGCTCAATTTCACCTGCAGATGCCATTATTTTTATGGGATAGCAGACTTATTTTAGTTTTAAGATATTTTTTAAAGGAAATGCCTTTTACAGGTTTAGGAATTGCACTCCTCGCTCGTGTAGCGATTGAGATTATTTATGTTGGTAAGCTTAAATATAATTGCAATATTAAATTACTTTGAGTATAAACCGAGTGAAATGCATGAAATGGATACATTATAACTGTGTGCATGATTTATATTGATGGGCCAGGGCACCAGGAGTGTTAGTAGGTTTTCAAAGCTGGAGATCTGTCAAAAGACACGAGTCTTTGTACATGGTCTGTTAATGGAGTTTTTCTCTTTAGAAAGTAAATGACAGCCAGGAATCTACAAGCAATCACCTGACAGATGCTCCATCAGCAAAATGACAGCTTTATTTTGTTTGTGTTTGGTAGCCTGTTTTTATGATTAGCTGTCAGTAACTGTAATAGTGATATGATGTGAGACTTTTGACAGCGCGACCAGTGTTTTTTTGCGAGCCCAAGACATTTTATGTAACTGTTGAAATTGTGAGAGCAAGACTTTGAAATATTTTAAATTCGAGACTTTGGCACTTTCATCACTTTTTGTGGCCTGTGTGTGTTTCTTGATTCCCCTTGATTTTAGTCCTTTGGCAAGCTTCTGCGGTCTAGCCGGAACTGGACATTCGCCATAACACCATATTATGATATCCTAGAACAGGCAGCAAATTTTGTGGATTTCAGAGAAATTAGGAGAATTAAGATTATTTTTTTCTCGGAAATTTGAAAGAAATGTAATTATTAAAACTTTTAATTATAATATGGTGAAAAATTGAGAGTCTGAGACAGCTTCATGAAAAAGCAACACTAACCACTAAAAAAACGAGACTGCAAGACCCACAAAATTAGACTAAAATTCTACGAGACCCAGAGTTTTTTGAAGGACCATTCCACTATAGTGTGATAAATCACACTATAGTATATAACCTTCTACAAGGTTAATGAGTTGAAAATTGATTAATTAATGCATTTTTCTAATCAAATAGTAGCAAAGAGAGTAAAAGATGCCAATCACAATGTAACATGTGGCTCTGAATTTTTCAGGATCGTAGCAAAGAAGACACATGGAAAGAATCAGATCTGAAAAAAGCTTTGAAGGTTAGAAACCTATAGGATATTATCTTTAATTTGAAGTTACAACACAACACCCCGTAGAGAAGCAGACATGGTTGGGTTATCATAAATTATCTTCAGTGCTAATTAGTTTATGAATGAGTTCTATTTCTTAATTAGATTGTGATTAATGAGCTTCAGATTTCTATACAGAAAATAGAGTATTCTTGTCGAGGGCCTATGCACTGATTGTTGAGTGTGGTAATTTTATGTTAAAAAGAAACATATATTATAACTATAGTAAGTTGTTTAGAACATAAAATTTTCAAGGGCAACTGTCAGCCATAATTATGCCCAGGCATAAACAGTCTACTATCTTTATTCGTGTTGCCTAAAGTTCCTGTAGCCACATTATGCCTCAAAACTAAAAACATCCTGAATTTATGTATTGAAATTTCTAACTGTTACAGAGCACTTGGAGATTTTGTATTTTCCAGAAAGTTATCCTCCTTGGCTGAAATTAAATTTATTCATGTATAAACAATTTTCTATGTCAACTGTTGACTTGAAAAAACTTGGTTAATGAGAAATTGAAACCTAGCTGTCCTNTGGCTGAAATTAATTTATTCATGTATAAACAATTTTCTATGTCAACTGTTGACTTGAAAAAACTTGGTTAATGAGAAATTGAAACCTAGCTGTCCTCTACAATCTTGAAACCTTCTGCACGTGCTGGTTTACTCCATCATTGTTTGCTGCTGTTTTTAGGCTAAAAACTGCCCATACACACTTTCTTGTGACTAGAATCCCTTGACTTCCCTGGTTGTGATGAACATTTTGCCATTTGCTCTCCACTTCTAATGAATAATAATCACATAGTGGACATGTGGAGAGTTCATTTTCTGATTCATCTTTTATTGTATATCCTATTGTACAATTTTGCTACCTAGGATGACAAGGTTAAATCCAAAGATGAGAGCAGAAAATCCAAAGAACACTCTAGTCGTAAGCCTGAGGATAGAAGAGAACGGAAGGTATGGATGATTTGTTTCGATAGTTTGGCTGATATATGTTCCATTACTATGGCAACATAAATGGATATAAACAGGCACATAAACTGGAGTATCTGCTTGTCAAATGTCGTGAAATTATAATGAGACGTAGTTCTCGAGGAAGAGGTGTATAATTTACTGAAAATACCATTATAGTATCCAGTTCTACGTATGTAAGTAAGTTAGGTTACATTTACATGTAACTGGATCTTTTGGTAATGAAGAATTTTTCTTGGCTTTTTCTCACATACCATTCTAACAACAAATGTAAACCACACACTTTTTCCGTATTGAAAAGTTATTAAGTGTTTACTCTCTCTGTGTATTTATAATATTATACTTCTTTTCTCTGGCAGGATAAAGATGATGACAGAAGGAGAAGAGGTCATGATGATGTAACCAATGGGGAAACAGATCGAAGGAGATCAGATAGGGACAGGGATAAGGAGCGAGACAGAGACCGAGGAAGAGACAGAGAAAGAGGAAAAGAGAGGGAAAGAGAAAAAGACAAAGATCACGATAGGGAAAGAGACAGAGATCGGGGAAAAGACAGGGATCGGGAGAGAGACAGAGATCGGGAAAGGAGAAAAAGAGATGAAGATAGGGACAAGGATAGACCTAGGGAAAAAGAACGAGATCATGACAAGGATAAGGAAAGGACTAAAAGAAGAGAAAAAGAAACAAGTGAAAGAAGCAGAGATGCCGAAAGGTCTAAAGAAAGACGTCCTGTGGATGTTGAAAGATCAAAAGAAAGGGACAGAAGTAGAGATGGACGAAAAGAAAAGGAAGGGGGAGATAAAGATCACGATAGAGACAGGAGAAGAGAAAGAGAAGATGA